TACGTAGGTAACGTAACAACGGATGACAACGGATAACTGGTTAAGGGGACTCACTACTTCGGCTAGTAGTATTTGAATAACGCCCACTGTGCCGCCCATGCCGATCGTGAGTACGTTTGAAAGAAAGCTTCAAAGCCTTCGGTATTTCCGTTCTGAGATTGTAATAGCACAAAAAATCTATCCTTACCAGCCACAATGGTATAGAGGTCTGACTCCTGGCAGGACGCTTTGCGCAGCAATCGGCTTCCAGCATAGCCGGAAGCTGCATATAAATGTTTATTTAGGAACATACACACAAGCAAACGTACATTGGTATGTGAAGAGCAATAATGTAATCGAAACTTACCTGCCAACACAACCCACTTTGATGCGAAGAATCATCGAGGTTCCAACGACCGTTGACTTCCATCAGGACGTACTGATCGCCGACAGGGAAGCACACATACTTGTAGATAGACGACGGCAATGGGTAAGAGCGCACTGTAGTTCCCATGGTTGCTTGAGAAACGGTAACGTTGGAAGAGTTCTGCGGATAGTCAAAGTAATCTTTAACATTTTCGTAGTCCACGTACACTATTTCTATGTCACCACAGGAATACCGTCTAATGTTCCTCACGCACACTACCTTACTGTCGAGTTTGATCGAGCCGTTCCAGGGTGTCAACAGCCCGCCCTTGCAAGCAGCCTTGAATTGCGTAAATGCTACTATCTTATTTCCTACAATAGTTATAAAAGATTGACTTATCTACTTACTTATTTTTTTAACAAGTCCCATGTGGAAATACTCACCGCTGCACATTGCCGGTACCTTTGTCCGATTGCTTTTCCTTCCCAGAAGTGTACATCCATCACCTGGTAGGTCGGGCGCAACACGCTTCAAGTTTGAGGAGTTTTTTTCAGATGCTTTATCGGGGTGTTGGTGTCTATTGCCCAAGACAAGTAGTGCACGGCTCGCTTGTTGTGAGATGGCAATTGCCACACCATGTCTACCGGAAAAGTCATCTGAGCCATTGTGGTATAAGGTTAAGTGGGAGTCAGATCCAGGAACCTTTATTTCCTGAGCGCCTGAGTCAGGAAGTCGGACTTCTGACAGGCAGCAAACATCTATGCTGTACTGCTGGAGACTGCGCACCGCCAGGCTTTGGGTACCAGGGACCAGGAACCTTCGCAAATTCCAGCATCTAATACCAAGGGTCCGATTTCGATTGGGTAGTCCAGCTCGCATACTATTCGCCCGCACCACTGGACAAGGGTTGCGGA